TGTGGTTACTGGAGGGTCTGAGGCTAAACAGCTACCAGCTCAGCAGAAGTCTTCGGAAAACGGCACTCGGCTACTGCTCTGGTTGGGGACTGAGGGGAGATGGTTTTCCAGGATCTCTCCTGCTGTGGATGCTTGCAACTTTCGCCTCCCTTGTGCCCTCTCTCCCACCTTAAAATATCTGTTACTGAGAGAGCAATGGAGATTCCCAGGGGCCTTCTGTCTTTCCCATAGCTCCAGTCCCTTCACTAGGAGTGGAACCTAGACCCACCAATCCCTCTTCATGAACTCAGGACTTCTTCCTTCTGTTTTGTTAGGTTTCCTTTTATACTTTGCTGATAAGCTACAGGATTCTAGCCATCACTCACTACTTCTGATAGTTTTTGTCCAAATCACCCCAGCTTATTCCGGGCAGATTTTTCATGTGTTCCGATTTTTTTTTTTTTTTTAGGTTTTTCGAGACAGGGTTTCTCTGTGCAGCTTTGCGCCTTTCCTGGATCTCGCTCATCTAGACCAGGCTGGCCTTGAACTCACAAAGATCCGCCTGCCTCTGCCTCCCAAGTGCTGGGATTAAAGGCGTGCGCCACCACCGCCCGGCGTGTTCCGATTTTTTGTGTTCCCGTGTGTCCCAGCCCCAACAGATTTTGTTTCGTGCTTCTACAGAGTTGGCAGTATGTCCTCAGTACTGCATATGAGTCTGGTGTCACTCTCCTTTGTGTGTTCCCTGTCTCTGACAGCAGCAGGGGGTGTTTCTGTCACTGTTCCACATGAAGGCACCTGAACACAAGACTCTCCGTGGTATTGTCAACAGAATTCTTTGGGGTCAAAACCTGGTTTCTGACAGCCCTAATAAGCTAGTCTTGACCACCCATTTACAATAAGCCTATTGAAGGGGTGAGAACAGAGTAAAGCAAAGAAAGGAGGTTTGGGGACAGGGAAGAGGAGCAAAGAGGTCAGTCTCTCACACACACACACACACACACACACACACACACACACACACACACACCAGCTACCCACCAAGTTGATCTTTAGGATCATGATGTGAGGTTTAGTTTAAGTACATGCAGGAGGACTTTTCCCCTGTTCTGTTCTATAACATTTCCTATATTTCTTTGCTAATAAGCTAGAGATTTCTGGCCATCACTCACCTCTTCTGATACGTTGTCCAACTTTCCCTAGTTCATTCTCTGGAGATTCTATCAGACTGCACCTGCATCCGCTGCCACATCACAGCTGGTGGAGCTCTTCTTCCTGCCCTCTCTGCACTCCTTTGCAATATATTTAGAGGTGTATTGTCTTCCTCTAAAAGTATAAGTCAATTCAGCACCCACCAATCTCTTCCCCAGTTGACTCCAACAAAGATAAAAATCTAAGCTCTCAAGATAACATTAGTGATTTGAGCACTTGAAGCTCCCAAAGCTCTCTATGAAATGTGTGGCCATATTAAAGACTGAGTTTTTGATAACTTGTACTTAAAGGAGTTGGTCAAAGAAATCCTATTTTAAAATAAACATTCACTCGGGCTGGAGAGATGGCTTAGTGGTTAAGAGCACCAGCTGCTCTTCCAGAGGACCTAGGTTCAAATCCCAGCACCCACATGGCAGCTCAAAACTGTGTGTAACTCCAGTTCCAGGGGTTCCTACACCCTCACACAGACATATATTCAGGCAAATACCAATGCACATAAAATAAAAATTAATAAATTATAAAAAACAATAAATAACATTCACTCTAGCCGGGCGGCAGTGGTGCACGCCTTTAATCCTAGCACTCGGGAGGCGGCAGAGACAGGTGGATCTCTGCAAATTTGAGGCTAGCCTGGTCTACAGAGAAACCCTGTTTCGAAAAACCAAAAATAAAAAAATTAATTAATTATTAATAATAATAACATTCACTCACATTGTGTTCATTCAATACACAAGACTCTCCTACAGATGTGGGTGCAGCAGATGTTGAAGGACACAGTGATGTATCAAGCCCACAGTGTAAAAAATCTTAAGAAAGCACCACCTGTGCCAATTAGTGACATATAAGAGAGGAAAAAATTGTGATTAGCCTACTTTGTTGGCACATTGCTTCAATCCCAGCAATCTGGAGCCAGAAGCAGGTAGATGTCTGAGTTCTAGGTCATCCTGGTCTACATAGCCACCTCCAGGCCAGCCAGGGCTACATACTAAGACCTGTCTCAAAAGAAAACTAAAATTATTTGAAGATGTTAAGGAAAATATTCCGCTGGGCCTGGAGTGATGTCTCAGCTATGAAGAGCCCTTGCTGTTCCTGCAGAGGACCAGAGTTGATTTCCCAGCACTGGAGCCTGGCACTTCACAGGTTCCTGAAACTCCAGCTCCAGGGTTTCCCACTTCCTCTTCTAGATCTTAGGAGTTCACACTCCTTGCATACACAGAGAGACACAAAAATACATACAAATAAATCCAAATCTTAAAATTGTTTCTCCTAAACTATGTCTGTGAAACTGTATGTCTCTGCCATTCAAATAAAACAAAACTGTTAAAAAGGAGACACAAAATCCACATGATCTGTAGTGGGAAAGATGAAGGTAAGGACTCGCAGAAATGTTAAGTATCCAAAAAGATCTTCTCACAGCATCATTTCATTTGGGAAAATAGTTCTTTCTCTTTTTATCCTGCTTACATGAAATTAGCTATTAATATCTACACTGAATCAGATGTAGATATATTAGTTCCTAACCTGGTAAGTATGGATTGATATAACTCACAGGAGTACAAACATCATTGAAGTCTACATAATGTCTAAGTGTGTGTAGAGATTTTGACACCAACATGTTTGAGAATTACTGACTTTCTGGGCTCTGGGCTAGGACTTAGGGATGTTGTGACCAGGACAGGGATCAGGGTAAGGTAACTTGTGTTCAGACACTGATCCTAGGATACCAGGCCACAGAACTGGGTCCAAAGCGGGAAAGCAAGGCCCTAGATATTTATTTTCCAAGAGTTCATCTCTCCATGACCCATCCCACCAGATCTACGTCACCACCTTTGGGAATTCTTAGAGAAGCCAGTCAGCCTCCTCCACATCAGAGGTACAAAGTGGGGAGATACCAGTCCTGTCTGAGACACCACCCATCTCCAAGGATGAGGACACCTAGACCCGGCGCCCTCTTGCTCCTGCTGGTGGCCTTGACCCTGACCCAGAACTGTGTAGGTGGGTGTGGGGCCTGGAGGGAAACAGCCTTTTGGGGAGCAGAGTGCAGCTGGGAATCCCCATCTCTGCATCTCCTCCATCGCCTAACCAGGCTGTCCCTGCTCCCCCCAGCTGGAAGACCCTGGCCCCTCTCCCTTCACCACCCCAGCTCTGCTCCCTCCCCAGCCCACCAACCGGCCCTGGGTCCAGACAGAAAAGGTCAGGGTCTCAATGTGAGTCGTCCCCAGGCTCACACTGGCTGCAGCTTTTGGACACCTTGGTTTATGGGCCAGACATCTGGGAGGTCCGATTCATCCATGTCTGCTATGTGGACACCACACAGTTTAAGGGATTCGACAGCAATGAAGCGACAGCGAGGATGCGACCTCGGGCTCCGTGGCTGGAGCGGGAGCCGCCTGAGTATTGGGAGAGGGAGACAGAGGAAGCCTTGCACAAGTCACAGAACGACCGGAAGTTTCTTCAGGTCCTGATGAACTACTACAAACACAGCAAAGATGGTGAGTGATCCCACATCTAAGGTTAGATCACTCCATGCCCTCATGGTCCTGCCCAATTCTCTCCAGGTTCCCCAGGTCCGAGATTAAGCCACGCGCACGGCCTATGACCTGGATAGGGGGTTAGTTTGGGACAAAATCCCAGGAGGGAGGAAGCAGCAGTGACTGGTGGCTGAATGGGGGTGGGGCAGAATATCACACCCTACAGAAGGTGCTTGGCTGCAATGTGGATAATAATGGGAGCTTCCTCGGCGGTCACTACCGGTTCACCTACTATGGCCACGATTACGTCACCTTGAATGAGGACCTGAGCTCTTGGAGTGCAGAAGGCAAGGCAGCTCAACTCATACGGCAAAGCTGGGAGGAGGAAGGTGCGGCCGCGAGCTGGAGGATTTACCTGCAGGGGGAGTGTGTGGAAATGCTTCGCAGATACCTAGACCTTGGGAAGGAGACATTGCTGCGCTCTGGTAAGAGAGGCCGCCGCCGCTTGTCAACTCCTTCTTCTGAGATTAGAACTCCTGTCTCCTGAGGCCTCCTCCTTAGCAGGGAGCAGCTGGAATACTTTACACTGTCTTGCATCAAAGGGGGAAAGAATGCTCCTGAGTTTCCTGACTCAACATGGGAGAATCTCTCCAGAGGATTCACCCTTCTCCCAGGATAGTCCAGTGTGTCAGTTAAGCAGCAGTTCCCTTCCGTATGTGCATTGTGAATCATGGCCTCTCTAAGACCTGTTCACTATCCATGCATAATGGCATTGGATGTCTGACTCCAGGGTTGCTGAGTCTCTCAGACCCTGCTCAGTCAGAACCAGAAGTCTATTTACCTAGAGGGAGATTCAAAATCTCCTGCTCTGTGCTGGCTCATGTTCATTCTGAAATTTCCCAAGGAATACATCATCCAGATCCTGAGTTTAGGCTGCTGTGTGGAGTCTGCTCCCCTCCCTTCCCATCCTTTCCAGGGATTGTCAGTCACATGAGCACTGCTCAATGCCCAGGAGGAATGCAAAATGCCTGAATTTTGTTCCCCTCAGACCCTCCCCAAACATATGTGACCCATCAAGTAAGACCTGGAGGGAATGTCACCCTGAGGTGCTGGGCCTTGGGCTTCTACCCAGCTGAGATCACCCTGACCTGGCAGAGGGATGGGAACAACCACACCCATGATATGGAGCTGGGAGAGACCAGGCCTGCAGGGGATGGAACCTTCCAGAAGTGGTCAGCTGTGGTGGTTCTCTCTGGAGAGGAGCAGAGATACACATGCCATGTGAACCATGAAGGGCTGCCTGAGCCCCTCACTCTGAGATGGGGTAAGGAGTGGGTTTGAGTGAGTACATCGTCAGGGAAAGTGTGAACCCTTTAGAACCAGAGCAGAATCAGGGTTGAGAGCAAGGGTCAGAGTCCTCACTCTTCCTTCCTCTCCCTCATCAGAGCCTTCTCAGACAATCATCTTCCTCATGGCAATTCTTATTGGCTTGGTTTTTGGAGCTTTGGTTATGGGAGCCATGGTGATTTTTCTGATATGGAAGAAATAAAGGTAAGGAAGGGGCAGGGTTTGAGTTCTTATCTCACTAGGGATTTCAAGCCCAAGCTATAAATGTACCCTGCCCCATAAGAGAGGTTGTATCCACACACCTGGGGATGTGGTGGGGCCTCTGTGCTGACTAACTCTATTGTAAAGCATAAAGGAAATAATGGATAGCCTCATCATCCTCTTGATGGAGACCTGATTCTGATTCCCCACAGACAGATGTCACAGAAAAGATCCCTACTGAGAACAAACCTACAGAAGGCCAGTTAGTCTTCTGTATGTACAGTCTTCTATTGTGTTTCCTCTTCCTTCCATGGAGCTGCAGTCACAGTTCTAGAAACTTCCCTGGGGTTTAGACTAGGAATCTCCTCCTGTTCTTGTGACTTTATTGCTTCCCGGTCTCTCAGTGGCTGGTTCTTCCCACAGGTGGGAAAGAGGCGTCTATAATTGGGCTGCCAATAATTAAGTGGAAGGTGGTTCCTGAGACCCTTGTAAGGGTCGACAGATGCCCCCCTGGGGGGGGCGGGGGCTCACACATTTCTATCTTGGCCCCGTTGCTGTGGGCTCTTGACAGGTCTTATTCTATACTGCCCTAGTCAGGGACAATGCTCAGGGATCTGATGCATCTCTCCCAAGAGGATAGGAGTATTCAGAGAACACATTGCTGAGCAGCGGTGACTCCCTATACTGATCTCTTTTTTTTTTCTTCAGTATGGCTGCCTGTTCAGTGTCACAATCTTCACTCAGAATTTGTTCTTATTTTCTTCCGTAGTATGAGACACCTACCTTGTGTGACTTCAAAAGCTCCTGACTTTTCTTTCTGCAACTGGCATCTAACTGTGTCCAAGTGTCTGTCTCCTGTCAGCATGGCATAAGGAAGTGAGTTCAGCCCAGACCTGAGCATGACTCCTCTCCACACTGACATGTGTGCCTTCCCAGTCATCTCTCCTGATCCAGGACGGGCAGGCCTTGGGAAACTCCCATTAGAGACTGAACTTTAGTTTCCAATGAGCTATATATTTATTCTTCTTTCTTGAAAATAAGGACGTGGATATTTTGGTAATTTTGTTTGGTAAACTCTTTCCATTTTTTTGCTCAATGGGTAAACACAATCAGAGCAACTGAGACAGCAGCTCTGCTTTGAGAAGTTGAAATCCATCTTTCGATCTTCTCTGTCCTTTTCTGTGTGCCTCCCTTTCTATTCATGTTTAAATCTGTTAATGCCTCCTCCTAATAAACTTGAACTTTGCTTCATACTGGTAGTTCTTAAATTCTTTTTTCCCCCAAGTTAAGAATCTTATCTTCGCCTGAGTAAAGGTCTCTGAACAAAACTCCTTGGCTGCTACACATGTAGCATGAAGCTGTCTCTACCCTACATCCAACTGCTACTGCCATCGTTCCTGCCGGTGACCAAAGGACTCCCTGAAGCAGTGGCCACTGAGCTGCTCCATTCTGCTCTTTTGCTTTGCATGCTACCCATGTTTCTTCACTTTCACTAGCCAAAGACCAACATAGTTTTTATTTTTATGGGTGTTTTACCTGCATGTATGCCTGTCTGTGCACCACTTGCATGCCCAGTGTCCATGGATGCCAGAAGAGGGCCACAGGTCCCTTGGAACTGGGGTTACAGACAGCTGTGAAATCTAACGAAGCCATTAAGAACCAAACACAGGTCCTCCAGAATAAAACCCAGTGCTCTTAACTGCTGAGGCTTCTGTACAGCCTCAAGACCTACATAGTGTTTAATGACCACTCCTGTGCCAAAGATCCCCTTAGAGCCATCCATACCCCATTCTTGGGTCAGATGGAACAACACATTGATTTCCAGGAAGACATCCACTGGTGCCCTAAGTCATACCTTTTGCCTCAAGAGACCTTCCAAGACTAAATTGAGGTGAACTGACTCTAAAGTGACATCCAGAGAAAACCTTTTTAAGCACAACATTCTGGATTGAAAATATGGTAAGAATTGCTGATTCTTGAGCTGGAGGGATGTCTCAGTGATTAAGAACATTGATGGCTCTTCTAGAGGACTGGGTTCAATTCCCAGCACCCACATGGTAGCTAACAACCATCTGTAACCCCAGTCCTAGGGTGTCCAACAACCTCTTCAGCCCCCTCAGGCACTGAATACATGTGGTGCAAAGACATGCATGCAGGCAAAACACCCATATACATAAAATGAAAAATTGTTCAAAATAATTGCTGATTCTATGCATGACATGCCCCAGTGCCTTAATTCTCTTTCTTAATTTTTAAGAGATTTATTTAATTAACGTTTTTGAGTGTTTTGCTTGCATGTATGTCTGCATATTATGTGAGTGTTTGGTGGCCCCAAAAGGTCAGAAAGAGCATCAGATCTCCATGTGGTTGTTGGGAATCAAACTCAGGTCTTCTGCAGGAGTAACAAGTGCTTTTAACAACTGAGCCATGTTATATTACCTTAGTTCTATTACCAGTAAAGACTCGGGAGTCAGATATTGGGGTGAAAACCTGATAAATCAAAGAAGTGGTGGAGGAGCAACCTGCTGACCTCCATACTTTCCAGACCAAAAAGGGGCTGACAAAAAGCCCATGAATCTCCATGTCCCTCCCTACTCCTTCCTGTGCCTTTTTATCCATATCCTACCTCCTCCATAGTCTTTATGACTAATTCTTAAAAACTAGTAGCTGACTCTGCTCCAATTCAAGGTTAACTTTATTAGTACAGTCTCTGGGTGTCTCATGGTGTGATCAAATATCCCACAACATCTCTCCCCTTTTGTCTAAATAAAAAGGGAAGGTTTTGACTCTAACATAGTAAAACTATATACAATAAGAACAATTATCAGGTAAGAATTACATTCCCAGTGCAAATCTAGAGAAAATACTCCATTATCCTATCTTTGTGGTACACATCTTATATTTTGGATATAGTTCTGCAGCACACAGGCCCATAGCCAAGCAGGAATGATGATGGCAATTCTCCCCCAGCAGCCTAATGTTCTGGTTCAAATCCAGGGTCTTGAGCCTATCAGAAAAACACTCTGAACACTCTGCTACTGGAGCAGATCTCCAGATATATTATATATATTCAATTGTAAGATGCAATACTGGGAGATGAGTGTAATTTCTCTTCCATGGAACAAAGCCTAATAGAAGGTATGGAAAATGGCTTAGTTTCATGTAAATCTCAAATGCTGCTTTCTCTCTAAACCCACTCTAGATTGAAGTCTCACCTGTGTCTTACTTCAAACTACAGAGTGGAAATTACAGTAACTGTAAACATTATGGGAGGTTTATATGCACATATGTGTACATTATTGGCAATCACTTTATTTAAGGTAATATACAGACTTGCACATGAAGCTGGCCACACAGCCAGAAACAGAATCAACACTCCTTCTTCACTTCAAGTCCAAGGTAGAATTCATGAACCCTGTCTAAATAAATATTAATACATTTTTATTTTACTGTGGTATCAAAGATGAGTATCCACAATTATCTGATAACAGCATTAAAATATTCCGCCTACATATTCGGGTAAGGCAAGCTGTTTGTTTCATATTCTTCAACAAGAATAACAGGTTAAGTGTATATGAAAATCAATCAGTCTTCTACTGAAACAGATGAAGAGAAAGACTTGGAAACTTGTGAAGTGCAAAAAGACCCACACTTCAGACTGTTCATTTGGAAAATGAGTATTTCTCGTAAGATTTTATTTTGTCAACACAATGGATTTGTTAGTATTCTAAATCAATGGAATACATTTTAAAAGACTTTAGTTTCTAATATTATTTACACATATAACTCACAAAAACATGTTTTCCTTGGGGAAACTCGTTAAATCCTCAGAGCCCATGGAGATCCTGAGACCAGAAAGTCTGAGAACAGCTGACCAAGACAACTCTTAACCTGGAGTCAGAAAGAACATGAGGAAAGCTCTTGGGGCTGGAAGAGGGGGAGGAAGGATAAAGGCCCAGGTCCGTGTCGTGTTCCCCCCCCACTCCCGGTCAGGATGTCAGGGGGCTAGAAGCCCAGCCCTGGAGATGTCCCCCCTCCTACAAGTTTCACTTCCTGGTCTCCCAAACTGAGTCAGATTCTTCTGCCTAGATACTTATGATGCGATGGTATTTCCCACTCCCATTGGGTGTCCGGTTTCTGCAGAAGCCAGTACGAGGTTCCGGGTTCCAAAAAAAACGCGCAGAGCTCAAATGCTCCCCAGATCTCTATCTCTGGGTGATGGCACCGCGCGCGCTGCTCCTGTTGCTGGCGGCCGCCCTGGCCCCGACCCGGACCCGCGCGGGTGAGTGCGGGGTCGGGAGGGAAACGACTCTGCGGGGAGGGCGGGGGCGGCCCCGGGGAAGCCGCGTCCCCGCGGCGCCCGGCCAGACCCTCCCGCTTCCTGTCCGGACCCCCGCTCCCAGCTCCCCTCTGGGCCGGCACAAAAGCTCCAGATCCTGGCAAAGGTGGAGCCGCCGTCAGCGTCTTGCTTCCTCCAGGCTCACACTCGCTGCGTTATTTCGGCACTGCCATGACCCAGCCCGGACACAGGGAAGCGCGGTTCATCGCCTTCGGGTTCGTGGACGACACGCGCTTTGTGTGGTTTGACAGCGATGCGATGGCCCCTAGAGAGGAGCCGCGGGCGCCGTGGATGGAAGAGAAGCGGCCAGAGTACTGGGAGCGGCAGACTCGGATCGCCAAGGCGAACGCGCAGATTTTCCGTAAGAATCTGAGGACTCTGCTGCGGTACTACAACCAGAGCGAAGCGGGTGAGTGACCCCTGTACGGGCCACTTGGCCCTGTGTGGCTTGGATAGCCCCCAAATAGTGGACCCGGCTCATAAACTCAAGGCTACTGCCGGGTGCATCTCCTCGATCCCACAGAGCTAGAGAAATTCACCCGTCTCTGCGGAAGACTCTCAACCGCTTGTGGGCCTCCATGGGGTGGGTCCAAGAGTAGCGGGCGGGGCCAGGCCTCCGGGCTTACTACTTTTGCCTTCCAGGGTACCACACCATCCAGTCCATGCGTGGCTGCTATATGGGCAGTGATGGGCGCTTCCTCAGCGGGTACTACAGGACAGCGTATGATGGAGCCGACCACATCTCTCTGAACGAGGACCTCCATTCCTGGACTGCGGCAAACAAGGTAGCTCTGATTACCCAGCGCGAATATGAGGCAACGAATGAGGCAGAGCACCACAGGGCCTACCTGAAGGTTACATGCATGGAGTGGCTGCGCAGCCATCTGGAGAAGGGGAAAGAGTTGCTGCAACGTGCAGGTACTGAGTGGCAGCAAACACCTGGGTCCCTGTGTAGATCTCCCTGCTTCGGGTCTAGTCTGGGCGACTCTTCTTGGGTTCTCTCTGGACAATTCAAGAAGCCCTGTCTTGCTCTCCCGGATGGGAGAAGTCAGTTGCTGCAGTAACTGACCAATGAGCAGTTTGCGCCAACCCTCCAGCAGCCTTGGACATTATTTGAAGATTCACTTTGTTTTCTGCCCCATTCCAGTGTCTTTGGAAATTTGGTCACATTTTTCTGAGTCACCCAGCCTCCCCCCAGGTCAGAACCCAATGTCTCTTTCAGAGACTTGGGGCCTCTTACCCTGGGCTGGCTCGAACTGATTCTAGGATTTTCCAAGGTAGAGGGTATCCTAGAAGCCTGAGTTTTATGCCTTCTTTCCCACCGAAGTGTCCTGTCCATTCTCAGGATGGTCACATGAGCCCACTATTTCAGTGAAGGTAATAGTCTCTGAACCTCTGAATTCTCAGATCCCCCAAAGACACATGTGACCCATCATCATAGCCCTGAAGGTGACATCACCCTGAGGTGCTGGGCCCTGGGCTTCTACCCTGCTGACATCACCCTGACCTGGCAGAGAGATGGGAAGGAGCAGACCCAAGACATGGAACTTGTGGAGACCAGGCCTTCTGGGGACGGAACCTTCCAGAAGTGGGCAGCTGTGGTGGTGCCTTCTGGGGAGGAACAGAGATACACATGCCATGTGCACCACGAAGGGCTGCCTGAGCCCCTGACCCTGAGATGGGGTAAGGAGGGGTAGGCTGTCATGGAAAACAGGAACCCTCTGGAGACCCTGAGTAGAGCCAAGGCCCCCACTTTCCTTTCATTTCCAGCTCCACCTCTTCAGCACATAAACCCCATTGTGGTCGTCTCTGCTGGCCTGGTTCTCCTTGGAGCTGTGGTCATTGCTGTGATGTGGAGAAAGTTACCAAGGAGGAACGGTGAGATGATTGGGGTCTGTTTTTTATTGTGAATGTACATGCTATCAGTGTGCTCATGTGTGCCATGGTCTGCGTGTCAACCGACAACTCTGTAGAGTGGAGATCAGATCCAGGTCAACAGGCTTGCACAGGAAGTACCTTTACCCGCCATCTGTGGTCTGTTCTTGAGGGAATCAAAAGCCCAACACCACTTTCCCAGTCCTGTGTGCTAACAGTGTTTTGTAAATCATGTAAAAATAAGAAAGTATCTATTACTAAGGTGACTATGGCCCTAAAGACCTGGCTCCTAGCACCTACAGGTCAGAGATCCCTCTGGAGACACTGACCTACAAGGGCAGTTGGTCCTCTTACACAAATCCCTTCCTCTTAATTTATCCAGCCCTGTGGTCCTGTGGTCTGCATGAGGTTCAAGATACCTCTCCATGTCCCCAGATTTGCTGGTTCCTTTAGGCTGTCATGGCTCTACTGCCTCCATGACCTCTCACAAAACAGGTTTTGTTTTCTACAAGCAGAAATGGCAGCTGTATTCAGGCCACCTATAAGTTTGGAAGGGCTAGCCCTGAGACCCTTACAGTAGACAGGAGCCCTTAATTCCAACCCCCCATCTCCTGTGGGCACTTAAGGCTTCTAAATTCTAAGACACAGAAGAACCTGAACTCAGAGACAAGAGTGGCAGGGGGCAGGACCATGTTGTAGGTTTCTGGGTTTGGAATGCAGGTGGGTGAATATGCAGTGGGCTATTCAGCACCACTACTCAGTGACCTGCATTTTCATGAATTTTCCTCTACAGCATGACACTGGGGAACTGAGCCATACAAAGGTGAACACACATACAACACACTATGTCGTGAAGAACTCCTGACTTCTTTCTGCACTTGGCATCTGACTATGTCCATGTGTGAGCTCCTGTCAGCAAAATGTGAGTCTGTTCAGGCAAAAATGGGATTAGCATTCTCCATCCCTGCCTATTGAGAAGAGCATCTAGATATGAATCTGTTTGAATTCTTACCCCAGGGTTGGTTGATGATTTAGTGTATAGCAAGTTGCTTCAAACTTGGGAGAGGAAATAAAACGAGAACATTCCAGAATCTACCTCTGCTGTATGGGTCTGTTTCAGGTTGGGAGAGAAGACCAAGGATCCAAGGGGCTGTGCCCGGATGGTGCTCAGCCCACTGTAGACTTCATCTGGGTCATCTCTGCTTCTCTAGCTTTCTCCCACCTGAACCTTTGATCACAGGAACCCAGCTATGACCCTGGGCCTTATCCTACGTGTTAGGACTATACACAGTGAAGACTACATGTGACAACACAGCCTAGCATCAGGCCTGATTTCAACCTTCAGCCCCCATCTTTTTTTTTTTTTTTTTTGGTTTTGTTTTTCCGAAACAGTGTTTGTCCGTGTAGTTTTGGTGCCTGTCCTAGATCTCGTTCTGTAGACCAGGCTGGCCTTGAACTCACAGAGATCCACCTGGCTCTGCCTCCCCGTGCTGGGATTAAAGGAGTATGCCACCATCACCCAACTAACTTATGTGTTTCTTATTCCTATGTTCCTCTTATCTCATTCCTCCCAGATGTCCCTTTTTCTTGACAGCATCAGGAGTTTGGTCAGGCATTGCCTCACAAGGCCTGGGGAAGCCCTGCAGTCTCCAGGCACAAACTTTCATGTAGGCTCACTTTCTTAGCTTCCTCCCAGAACTTTCCAGTGAACTCTTCTTTCAACAGTTCATAACAGTCCTTATGAAGGAACTGGATTCCAGAGTTAGCAAGGATCTGACAGCTGCTCATCATCTGACATGAGTTCCTGTTGCCATTCTTCTGTCTACTCAGCTACTCCTCTCCCTGCCCCTTAGCCCAAGCAATCATAACAATGACTCATGTGCAGACTCAAGAATTTATTTTTATTTTTTTAAAGAATTATTTATTTATTATGTATACAGAAGAGGGTAACAGATCTCATTACAGATGGTTGTGAGCCACCATGTGGGTGCTGGGAATTGAACTCATGACCTCTGGATGAGTAGTCAGTACTCTTAACCTCTGAGCCATCTCTCCAGCCCCATCAAGAATTTATTAAACAGAGCCTAACTTAGATTATTCCTTGGTTGGGAAATACGACTATTAACAACCTTCTAAACCGTGTACTTACGTTGCTGCAGGGTGCAGGAAGGCTGGGGTAATAGAGATAAGGAAGTCCGAGCACCTGTTAACAGCCAAGCACCTGTTAACAGCCCGGGGCCATGAGCTCAGTGTGAGGTCCTTGTGCTGCAGCTGCCACAGCACAACACTTGCTCTGAGGCACCGCGGTGAAAGCTACTACAGAGGGTGGTGTAGTGCACTACCAATCACTGAACAACACAGTCATCTCTCACACTGTTGAGCTTTCACTCTATTGCATGCCACAGATACTGTTTTTGTTTTTACAACTCCTGCATTAAGCAAGCCAATTAAAGCCACTTTTCCAATAGCACATGCTCACTTCAATTTCTGTGTCACATTCTGGTGATTGTGGCATTTTATTGCTGAGCGTAGTGGCACATGCCTTTAATCCTAGCACTTGGGAGGCATAGGCAGGCAGATCTCTGTGAGTTTGAGGCCAGCCTGGTCTACAGAGTGAGTTCCAGGACAGCCAAGACTGTTACATAGAGAAACCCTGTCTTGAAAAAACAAAAACAAAACAAATAAAACTTTGGATTTTATTATTACATAAATCATGACAACCTGTAATCTGTGATCTTTGCTGTTAATACCAAATTTGCATTAGTTACCACAAACTGTGCCCATATAAGACAGCACACTCATTCAATACGTCTCCTGATGCTCCACTGACTGGCCATTCCCCATCGCACTTTCCTTGGGCTTTTCCTATTCCCAGAGACATAATACTAAAATTACCAACCAACCCTACTATGGTCTCTAAGTGCTTAAGTGAAAGGAATTGTCCTAGCTCTCATTTTAAACCATAAGCTACTTGAAGAAGCTATATGAGAAAGAAATGTTGAAAGCTGGGACAGGCAAACTAAACTACTAGGCCTCTCTAGTTAGCCCAGTTGTGAACATGAAGGAAAGTTCCTGAAGAATGAAAAATGGCTACTTCATTGTACACATGAATGGTAAGAAAATGAAATGACCTTCTTGCTGATGTGGAAAAGTTGTATGGTTGGGGTAGGAGATTAAAAAGCCTAATGCAGAACAAGACCCTAACCACAATTCTGAGAGATGTTTGAAGATAGCAAAGATTGGTTCCCAAGGCTTAAAGGCAGAAACTGTCTCCAAGCTCATGTAGAAACAGCAGGCTCTCCCCCAGAAGATCTAAGATAAAGAATGAAGATGGCTGTGCTGAGCAACAGATTTTTCAAAGTAGACAAAATAGGCATATAGTAGAAGACTCCAGATTCCACTTTCACGGGTAGAGAAAAGCTAATGCCTCACCTCAAAGCTTCAAAAGACAAGTTAATTCTGTTAAGAGACTAATACAGTTAGTTACTGCAAACTGAAAACGGTTGTTCAAATCTTAGCGCCATTAAAAGTTACATTAAAGCTCTCTACATGGAGAAACGTGTATGACAGCACATCTGTTTAAAACATGGTTTCTGAGTATTTTAAGCCCATTGTTGAGACCTACTACTCCAAAAATATTCCATTTAAAATATTAGTTTCAATATGTTCAATATGTGGTTAATATATTGTGCACCCCAATAAATTGATCTGGGGGTCAGAGAACAGAACAGCCACTATATTAATTAGAGGTTAGGCAGTGGTAGCACACGCCTTTAATCCTAACATTCCAGAGGCAGAAATCCATCCAGATCTCTGTGAGTTCAAGGCCACACTGGAGAACAGAGCCAGGCATGGTGGCACATACCTTTAATCCCAGCACTTGAGATCTCATGTCTTGCTTGGGAAAGACACACACCTTTAATCCCAGGAAGTGATAGCAGGAAGCAGAAAGGTACATAAGGCATGAGGACGAGGAATTTGAGGCTTTTAGCTTTTTAAGCTTTTAGGCTTTTAGCAGTAGTTCAGATGAGATCCATTCGGATGAAGACTTGGGAGGCTTCCAGTTTGAGAAAACAGGATCGGCTGAGAAGTTGTCAAGGTGAGGTTGGCTGTGGCTTGTTCTGCTTCTCTGACCTTTCAGAATTCACCCCAATAGCTGGCCCCCAGTTTTTTATTAATACGACCTTTTAAGATTCGTGTTACACTTACCATTCAAGAGCACTCAGAGACATACAACTAGATGGCTGCTTCCTGCTAACTCAACATCCACCCAGTAGCCTTGAGGGATCAGCTTGCCTTTCCAATCTTAACTACTGAAGAAATGCATTTCATACAGACACAGCTGCCACAGTGAGTGACTCCTCTGAGGTACCCAGGTAAATTAAAACTTCCTGCAAAGGGGTCACCACTCTAGATGTCACGAAGAATATTTGTGATTCATGGAAGGTGGCTACAGTGTAGAAGCTGGTTCTAGCTCTCCGAGATGACTCTAAAGAAGTGATTGTCAACCCATGGATCCTGTAAACAACTCTTTTACAGGGGTTGCATATCAGATAATACATTATGATCCATAACAGTAGCAAAATTACAGTTAATGAAGTAACAACAAAAATAATTTTATGGTTGGGAGTGTCACTACAACACTTTATTAAAGGGTCCTTTAATACAGGAACTGTATTAAAGCATTAGGAAGGCTAGGAACCACTGCACTAGAGGATCAAAAATTCAGTGGAGGAAGCAGCTCCAGATATGGGAGTATCAGCAGAGGCCCAGCGGGAAGAGGTGACTGAATTGCTGAAAACACATGACAGAATATAACAAATGAGTTTCTTCCTATCAGTGATTGGGGAAAGTGGTTTCTTGGCCAGTGAGGTGGTGCACACCTGTGTGCCCAGCACTCGAGAGACAGATGGGAAGACCCCAAGTTTGAGGACAACCTGGATCTAGATAGTCAGACCCTGTCATAAAGTATGAGTTTCTTAAAATGAAATCTTGGAACATGCTGCAGACCAGTGGTTCTCAACCTTCCTAATGCTGCAACCCTTAAGTTCCTCGTGTTGTGGTGACCCCAACCATACAATTATTTTTGTTGCTACTTTATAACTGTAATTTTGCTACTGTTATGAATCATAATGTAAATATCTAATATGCAGGATATCTGATATGCAACCCACAGGTTGAGCCTCACAGGTTGAGAACCACTGCTGTAGACATTGTTCAATGTGAACCAAGTATTTAGATAGTAAATATACCAGCTGATAAAGCAGCAGCAGGATTCAGAGAACTAATTACAATTCTGAAAATTGTTTTACTGTGGGTAAAAAGCCACTAAACACCATTATCTGCCATGAAAAGGAAGGAAAATTTTTTTTAAAGACAGAGCCTTGCTGGCTTCACAGCAATCCTCCTGCATCAGCATCTTGATTGTTGTAATTATGTACACCCCATGCCTGGCTTTGCTAAGGAGAAATCTTTTGTGAAATTAAGACTTAGTTGATCATTCTGTCTTGTTTCCTTTTTATCAACTTGCTTGTCATAGTAGTATAACCCCAGCTCTTGGGAAATCTAAGAGAAGAATCCTAAGCTTGAGGCTAGCCTGAGCTACAAAATGACATCCAGTCTCAATCAAAGACCACAGCTACCCCAACTATAAGCAGCCACCACCTTGGTCAGCAGCTATCAACATCAAAGCAGGAACTTCTACCAAAAGAAATTACAACTCACTAAAAGATCAGGTGATTAGAAATTTTAGCAACAAAATGTTCAACCTGTGAAGCAAATGCTCTAACAGGAAGAAGTAGATGATAAGCAGTGTAATTCAAGATCACTTCATCTAGGAGGTGAGGACAGTTATTGAGGGAAGAGGATGGCCAGGTCTAGACTGGAAGTTACCAGAAGAATTCTTACTTCGAGTGAGGCAGTTTTAAGCAAAACAACATAGAACTTTACTTTTTAAAGAATTGTTCTGGTTCTGTCCTAAGAAGAGAACTCAGACACTGCAGGAACTTCACTAGGTTGGAAATGTCAAGTCTCTCCTCCCAGCATGAACAGTGGGGATGCAGGAAGTAAGAGGACTATGGATCTGGTCTGTAGATTAAGACCTAGAGCTCTTCCTAATGCACTATATCAGGGCATGAGAAAGGAATTATACAGAGAGGCAGGCTGTACCAAGAAAACAATGCTCCTGAATGCTTAAGGGAAGTTCCTTGTCTGTGTATCCTGCATAATGGGTATTAACAGCTTAGATGCAAGATTGTAAAACATCTGTAGCGAACTTCTACCCTCCAGGGTTCTCCCATTGTGCTGTAAGCCTGTATTTAAGACCTCTTCCCTCCTTCAATAAACAGCATTCAGCATAAAATAAATAAATAAATAAATATTAAAAAAAAAAAGAAAGCAACGCAGATGCCACCAGAAAAGAAAGGAAGACTGCCAATGACATATGTGAGGAGAAAGACAGGTGTGGTGGCGCACGCCTTTAATCCCAGCACTGGGAGGCAGAGGCAGGCAGATCTCTGTGAGTTCAAGGCCAGCCTGGGCTACAGCGTGAGTTCCAGGAAAGGCGCAAAGCTACACAGAGAAACCCTGTCTGGGGGGTGAGGGGACACACACGACGACGACATGTGAGGAGGGATGTGGCAGACAGTGTAGGAAATGCTGAGTTGAAATGCCCACTAATATTTCAGTAAGGTGGGAAGTTGGCAGTGGAACATTTAAGGAAAATGTCTGAGCTGAGAAATGATCTGGGTGGGACAATATGAAAAATATTTAGACCTGAGAAGCGATGAGGGCACTAAAGGAGTGACGGCTACAGAAGATGGACAGAACAAGGACCGAGCCCTGTGCTCTGGTGTAAGCAGTGGGATCAGAGCCCACACACAGAGCAGACTGCCTCGTTCCAGTGCCACATCTAGAAGGCACAAAGAGCAGGAGCCCCAGCTTTTCTGTGCACAGCTATCACCGGGCTGTCACTACAACCTGCTGAAAGTCATCTGACAAGTGAGAAATCCCAGGTTTGTGACAAGGCTGGTGTAGATGTTGCTGGTCTCCTAATAATTCCTGTAATAACAAGGACTAGAACAGGATTCTCAGGCCCTGGTGTGTCTCCTCTACAGACTGTTCAACAGGCATTCTGGAATTCAAGTGCCTAACACTTGAGACTGGATCTGGGGAGAGGCCTGTGTTCTTTTAACAGCTCGCACGCCTTCCTGGTACTCACACACGGAGGTCCAGTGAGATCAACAATCAAGTATAATGACAAAAATCTCAAGCTGCACCTGAATTCAAAAGAAGTTAATGCAACATACCATTGGCCATCACCAGGGCAACAAGTGGCAGCTCTTTAACATCAATGATGAGAGAGCCTGTATTTGGACATGTTTAGATAAAATAGTCACAAAGGCTGCTAAGCAGCAATTTACATGGTCACGTTTTTTACATTAGATATATTTCTTTCATATGGATGAAGAGCTGGAAAACCTGACAGCAGGGTAGTCAATTAGGATAGGAGGAGCAAGCTATCGGTAAACAGGACAGGGCAGCTCCCAAGAAAATGCCCACACCACGAAGTACTTCCTTGACCAAAACGGAGCAAGTTGTCAAGGATGAATTAACGCGTGTTGTCTAAAGGACCACAGACACTGGCCCTTATTTAACTAGTGGGGAAGGAATGTCGGGGACCAGTTCTGAGAACTGGGGCCTGACGTCTGTTTTGACACTAACCAAATACATCCCGTCTCTACTTTCCCCCCAGCCACTTCACTGACTCCTATCACAGATCTCACGTTGCTTTGCCTCTTCTCTCCAGAAGAGCTGAAACAGAGTGTTACTCCATCCTACCAAATACTGAAATCAAAGTAAGAGCTTGTACCCCAAATGTTATATACCATTTCAGGGCTACCAGAGACTAAACTTCACAACCTCTCAGCAATTAGAAACCAAACCATGAGAAACTGCTATGGTTGGGAAAGAGACAAGCATGGAAATGTGACCTGGTCACCTATTTGGGGGCTTGAAAGCAAAATTAAATATGAGGGAGTGATTATAATGGTTTATATACAATTAGGCATACCGCTACCCAAGGTTTAGGAAAAACTGAAAAACCACATCAAAAACCCCTTTATTTGAAAGATATCTAGTTCAAATTCCACCATGGAACTAGCTCAGAAGTAAAGGCTTGTCTAGTCAAAGACCAAGAAGAACAATTTTAAAAGGCACAAAGCATGCCGGAAATCTTGAAAGAAAAGCAATGTCCAATTCATGAGAGAGAAATCTGAGGACATATACATATAAAACCACCTGAATCAGTCAAGGTTGGCAGTCCTTAAAGGTCTCCACCCTGCCAGCAAGTTTCAGATGTAAAGACAAACATTCAAACGCAGGGAAAAAACATTTCTAAGGAACGAAGCCCTTCACTGAAAAACATGACAACTCTATAGAGCATGACATACTGTGGTTTTGGTTTTTATTTTAAGGTTTCCCTGGCAATACAGAGAGCTTGAAAAATAAAAACACTGGCTATCCTGATGACAAGAAAAACCAAGTAACTGAAAAATCCTAACTTTTTAACCTCTCAGAAAGCTACCCAAGTAGACTAAAATCCCCACCACCCAGCTTCCCAGAATAGAAAAAGAGCTCCTGGGACCAGATATGAGCCTCAACTCATCAACTCATGGAGGGACCCAAGACAACAGAAAATGGGGCACCACATGAGTGGGTTGGCAGTACCCGTTAACATTTACTAATGAACTGCTACAGTAAGTACAGAACTTCTGGGAGACAGACACCGTGGTAACTCAAACCTGTTTGCCTTTTTCTCCACACACCTCAAAGGGCACTCAAAAGAAAGATAGGGACAGGGCAGGGACCAGAGAAAATTCTCAAGACACAAGACTAAAGGGGGAGGGGGCGAGTCCTCAGAGCAGAAAGGGTACCACAGTGGGAAAGGCTACACTGGGACATGATTAAGGGACAATGGCAGGAGACTAGTTAATGGCTTTCAAACTAGCTTATGTTAGAAATGAGATGTTTGTGAACTATTAACAACTGCTGTAGCTTATAATCCCTAATGGCCAAATATGACAGCAATGAAGTGGAGGAAAACTAATAATTATCAAATTTACTCTTGAAATTGGCTACCATAAAAGGGGAGTAAAGCAAAAAAACAGAAAAGACAATTTTTTGAAGCAATTTGTTGTATTTGCCATTTGTGGTCCCAAATCTTTAACCTTAGATACTGCGTGTTTTCTGACATTAAAATAACTGTAGACTCTTTAAGTATGAGGGTTAAACATGCATGTTAGCTGGGGTAGCCAATACCTGTGATTCTAGCACTCTGGAGTGAAGCAGGAGGATCGAGTTTAAAGCAATCCTCAGCTACGTGGTGAGCTCAAGTCTAGCCTGGACTACACAAAATGCAATCGTTAGAAAAACAAAACCAAACAAACAAACCTTCATGGTGTTTGCGAACAATCTCAAAATGTACAGGAACCACTTCCTCTAAAAGGAGGGCACACATTAAAATCCACTCGAATATGATTCATGCCAGTTGTTGCATGAAGTAGGGAGGGTGTTACATAGCAATTTCTCTGAATTAAAACCTTGCATCATCAAGGGAAACGGCTTAAGACAGGATGATTATGGAGAGGTAAAACAACAGGATATCAGAAAGAGAAATGAAGTATTACAGGGAAGCACCGTAAGACACAAAGCAAACAACTCAAAATAGCTTCAGGAGTCCCTGAAACTGACTAGATTTCCCAAACCCCTTCCCCAAGAGTATATTAAAGAGTAGAGACTGTTGATGGCCACTCTCAGAAAGTCCAGCAGAAGCAGATAATGCCTAGAAGAAATAAGGCCAGGCTGAACATCCTGGAAGATGCTCAGACCAACTGAGCCACCAGGAAAGAACACCCTCCAACCTTTTGAGCTGTGGAGTGTACTCCAGGTTTCTAGCTTTGTGAGCTGTCACCCATGCTGGGGTGGATTCTGGTAATACTGCCTCCTTGAGTCATTTCTGCTCCTTTAAGTAACCCCTCACCCATATTCCTCTAAATAACTGCAGCAAAACTCATGCTTCACCAAATGAGACTTCAGTGATACCCATACTTCGTTCTCTGTAGATGCCCTGTCTGAGGTGAGCAGGCATGTGTTTATTCCCCAGAAAAGGCCTATCTCACAACAGAGGGACAAGCTTCCTATGCTACTGGTGGTGCACATATGCATCCTAGTACTACCTCCTCCTGAGTACATCTGTACCATCAGACTTTCCCTCCCCGCCAATCCACTCCCTTCCACAAAATCTTCATCATCACAGATTTGTGATGCTCCCAAACACTGGGAGGCTACAGTGCAAGCCCGGAATCCATCCACAAGCTCTATCTGCTCTCCCGGTGAAACGCAAGCCAAAGACCTCACAGAGCAAGAAACTGTGGTTCTTCAGCCAGTGTTTACTGAACACTGGATTTGGTCCGCCCCGCATCCAAGGATCTAAGGACAGATGCGTGAGCAGCAAAGCACTGGACCAGCCCAGTTCCCCAGCCAGGGAAAGCACTTCGTGAACGTTAGCCAACCAGAGGACAGAAATGAGGCGTACCTCAACACGCCCGCTCCAGCCGGGGAAAGCACTCCGTGAACGTTAGCCAACCAGAGGACAGAAATGAGGCGCACCTCAATCTGCAGCCAAGATAACTTACCTACTCCTTCACTATTAAAATGCTAAACCTCAGCCCGTCGGAAGTGACGTGCCAGCAGAGCCTCTCAGGTCAGCCACGTAATCCGCCGCCGCCGCCTTCAACAGCCACCCTATCCCCCAAACTGACCCAGAGGCCGGGAAAGTGAGGCCCAAAGCCTATAACCCGGAGTCGCCCAGGCCTCTGCAGCTGCCAGCCCCACCGGGGAGCAGCCTGAGCCCCCGCCGGCCAGGTGACAGCACGGCTTTGCCCGCCGAGACGCGCCGCCGGCCATGGGCTTCGGCATCCCGCCAGGCGCATGCGCGGCCCTCCGTCTCCGGAGGACTATTCCCGTCACCTGCGCGCCAGCACCTCAGCCACCTGACGCGGCGGGTCGCCGCTCGCCGGTTGCCGGCCCTCACCTGCGGCCCTCGGCCGCCACCTGCGGCAGGCCCGGCTAGGCCCGGGCGCCGCGGCCGGGCGCCGCGCGGCTGTCTTCCCACGAGCCGCGGCGCGGCTTCCGCTTCCGGCGAGTATTGTGTGTCGCGCCGCGGGGCGGGGGTGAAGGGGAGGAGGAAGGAGGGAGGCAGTGCTCCGGCGGCTCCGCGCCCGGCACTCCGGGACCCGGAGCCGGGAAGGTAGGTGCTGCGCCGCCGCCGCGCGGGGTCTAGAGCCCGCCCCTGCCCGCCGGCTGCTCACGCCACGGCCTTACGCCCGGCGAGCGCGTCAGCTGCCCGGCGCGTAACCACAGCTGCCTCCGCCCGCCTCGGGCCCGGAGGACGTTTGCCGCCCCGGCGACGTCAGCGCGTCCGGCGTTGCTTGGCTACCCCGCCGTTCCCCTGTCCCGCTGCCTCTGGTCTCCCCGGGTGAAACTGACGCAGTCACCGCAAGTCTGGACTGCGACCTGGCAGCGGGCATCCCACCTTCACGTCACGCTTCTCCCTCACTTAGACACGCATCCCTTGCTCCCTGCCAACCACGACGTGTGCCCCCCTCACTCTGGTCCTCATGCTCCGGATATGGCAGGGGAAGATGGAGACAGGGTGGGACAGAGTTGTGGCCAGTGCTCAAGAGAGGTTGCTCAAGGTGGTACCCAACCGTGGTAGAAGACAAAACCAGGACGCCTCTGAAGTTAGTACTTCTACCGAGAACAGAGTAATGCAGAGAGAGGAAGGACCAAGCCAGAGGAGCACAAGGCCACACTCTGGCTGCCCTCTCCATCAGCAGCAGCTCCAAATCCTCTCCATTCTTCACTAACCCTGAGCCCATTTCTCTTTTTGTTTTTTTGTTTTGTTTTGTGTTTTGTTTTTCGAGACAGGGTTTCTCTGTAGCTTTGCGCCTTTCCTGGATCTCACTCTGTAGACCAGGCTGGCCTTGAACTCACAAAGATCCACATGCCTCTGCCTCCCGAGTGCTGGGATTAAAGGCGTGCGCCACCACCGCCCGGCTCCGTTTCTCGTTCTTGCCACTTAGATACATCCTGGCCTCTTAAATGTGCATATAATTCAATTCATTTAGATGAGGATGCTATCTAATGTCTGTAAGATTGGGGAGGGGGGCAGAGTCACTATTCCAAATTGGATTCTAATGAGTAGAGAAGAAATCATCCAACTGAACTCGCCTGGATCTGAATTTCTTCTCTCCCTTTTCAGGAGATAAGTTAGCCACTCCTACTTAAAACTTTTCCATTTGTACCACCAGTATACAGTAATAACCATTGCCACTCCGATTCATTACATGACCACTTTTCTGTCAGTGTTTAGGCCTACCAGATTTCCGTCCTTTGTTCTGGTCCCTTTCTGGGGCAAAACGGAAGTGGGGTTATGGGACCAGAGAAGTTGACTTATGTATTGACTATTTAAGGATGAAGTGGGGACCAGCCTTGTGTTCTGTATCTCTCTGGTGTATTTGCAAGCCTGAGGCTGTATCTAAAGAGCTTTGATTGCTTGCCTCTTTCCATTTACTTATTTGTTCATTGAGACAAGGTGGTCATATTTAATCCAGGTTGGCCTCAAGCTTGCTGCATAACTGAGGCTGGCTCTTGCCCTCACCTCCCTGGTACTGGGATTATACGCATGTGCCACCATACCTGGCAAATTTCCTTTTAATTCCTAGTTAGTGCCCTGAATATCTGAGGAATTAGTTATCAGCAGCGACTTGAAAGACTAAATTCACCGCTGAATGTTTAGAGTGGACTTGCCAGCTGTCTTCAAAGAGTTATTGCCCTCTGCTCAACAGTAGTCTCTTAGAGTGAAAATGTGTTTGCTGCGTTGCAGCCATTCCAACATCACACAAATAGAAATGAGATGCGTGAGAGAAACATCTAGAAGAGAGCTGTCTTCCTTTCGGCTAGTCCAGGGAAAGGAAGAATGATTTCACATTCCCTGGAAAGAGTTTGTTGCTGTGGTATAATTCACTCAATGTGTTACCCTTTTAAAAAGAGGAGTAGCAGACAATCAAGGTTAAGCCCTAATAATAATAACACCAAAACTTCTATGTGTTATAAGTCGTTTTTTATGTAGATGCAGTGCTTATATATAAAGTTCTTTTTAAAAAATAATAGTGGCCGGGCGGTGGTGGCGCACGCCTTTAATCCCAGCACTCAGGAGGCAGAGCCAGGTGGATCTCTGTGAGTTCGAGGCCAGCCTGGGCTACCAAGCGAGTCCCAGGAAAGGTGCAAAGCTACACAGAGAAACCCTGTCTCGAAAAACGGGAAAAAAAAAAAATAATAGTAATAATGAGTTCCTCCTGGAACTCACTATATAGTCCAGGTTGGCCTCCAGCTGATGATGATGCCCTGCCTTGACCTCAGAAATGCTGGGTTCTGGGTTTGAGCCACCACACCAGGGTCCTTTTCATCTGTTAGAAAAATACGTCAAATTAGAGTTAAAGGAAGCTTCTGTTTGTAATGAGAAACAAAGGCGAAAGAGGCACCAGGGATCGCCTTTGTTTGCTGAGTCGGAAAAATGTATTGGCTAGAAGTGAAGAGGCTGTAAATCGAGCAACAGGTGAATCCACTGGAAGAGATGGGAAATACCAAGATGGGGCTAAATCTAGAGTTATAGCTTAATGGGAGCTAATGTCAGGATAGGAGTGCAAAAATAAAAAAGTAATCCTCCACTAATGTTTTCCTTTCCGCTCTCCCTATCTCCAGGTTAAATAATGGCAGAGACGAGTCTGCTGGAGGCTGGAGGCTCTGCAGCCTCCACGGCTGCTGCTCTGGAGAACCTGCAGGTGGAGGCGAGTTGCTCTGTGTGCCTGGAGTATCTGAAGGAGCCAGTTATCATTGAATGTGGGCACAACTTCTGCAAGGCGTGCATTACCCGCTGGTGGGAGGACCTGGAGCGGGACTTCCCCTGCCCTGTCTGTCGGAAGACATCGCGGTACCGAAGTCTCCGGCCGAACCGACAACTAGGCAGTATGGTGGAAATCGCCAAGCAGCTCCAGACAGTCAAGCGGAAGATCAGGGATGAGAGCCTCTGCTCCCAGCACCATGAGGCCCTCAGCCTCTTCTGCTATGAAGACCAGGAGGCTGTCTGTTTGATATGTGCAATTTCCCATACCCACCGGGCCCATACCGTAGTGCCACTAGATGATGCTACCCAGGAATACAAGGTGGGCAACCAGACACATGCCAGTGTGGAGAAGAAGAACACATACTGTCTGGGTAGAGGGGTTTCAGCTCCCTAGGCAAGGCTCTCTGTTCCTCTATATTCCCCTCAGAAGTATATACATGGGTATTTAGTACATCAGGTCGGTTGTCCTTCACAAGAATAGTGAGTAGTACCCAAAAATTTCTGTGACTTATTGCAATACAATTGAGTCTTCAGAGTATTGGTATGTATAGTTTTGGAATATATCAGATTTTAAATAAATGAGTGAAACCACATAAGGATCTGAAAAATAGTTTGGAAGAACTGAAAAATATTTTGATTTCTTTGTTTATGCCTGTTTACTCCGGATGTTTTGGTTTTTTGTTTTGTTTTGTTTGTTTTCTCATTTGTTGGAAATAGCTAACATCACTTTAGACTGATCTCCAGCAAACTAAGCTGAACCAGTTTGTGTCTTCTTATAATGGGTAGCATGACATTTAACATTTAAATTGCTAGTAATAAGAATAAAAAATGATACTGTCTAGAATTTTCATTCATTCTGCTTAATTAACAAAATTTTGAAAAATATTTGAGGTAATTTACAGTCAAGTTTTATTTTGTTTATAAGTTGGTTAGACCTGGATGGAAGCAGAGGTAAAAAGGACATCAAGACAGGCGTCGTGACACACACTGTAATCCCAACACTCAAGGTGGAGGCAGGAGGATGGGGTTGAGGGCCATTCAGGACCACATGTTTGAAGCCAGGCCAGGCTGCTGGAGACCTTACCATGAAACAACGACAATAAATGAAGGATATTGAGGTATAAAAGGAAGCTTCTGGCTAAAGGAGGGTGTAACCTGATAAGAGACTGTTCCTAGTGTACACCCTGCATGGATTCTCAGCACCACCAGAACAAACCAAAAACAAAACAAAACAGATAATTTTGAATGTGATAGGCAGTTGTCCATAAGAAAATAGAGTGGTGCTGGGTGGTGGAGCACGCCTTTAATCCCAGCACTTGGGAGGCAGAGGCAGCGGATCTCTGTGAGTTCAAGGCCAGCCTGGTCTACAGAGTGAGTTCCAGGACAGCTAGGACTGTTACACAGAGAAACCCTGTCTCAAAAAATAAAAAAAAAAAAAAGAAAAGAAAATAGAGTGGTAAAGGAAACTATTGATAACAGCTAGACTACTAGATTCAGGAAAGTCATGTGTGCCACAAACATGTTGGGGACAAACCAATGGCAGGGAAAAGGGGATCTGTAAAAGGTCCAGTTCTAGGCAAGGAAGGGAGTTAGACCAAGAAGTGATGAGAGGCTAGAAATTACATGATTTAGGGGTAAAAAATGGGCCTTAGTGGTAGAACATTTGCCTAGCATGCTTGAGGCCCTGGGTTTGATCTAAGTACTTCAAAGGAAGAATAATCGGGGCTGTAGAAATGACTTAGCAGTTAAGAGCATGTCTACCAGTTTGGCAGATCACCTGAATTTGGTTCCTAGATGGCTGTTCACCACTACCTATAACTTCAGTTCCAGGGGATCTGATGCCCTCTGCTGGCGTCCATGGGCACTGTCATACGCATTTGCACATACACTCAGACAGACACATACATATTACCATGACTTAAAACAATCTTTGACAACAACAAGAGAAATAATAAATGGGTTAAACTCTTGAGTAATGATATATCAACTAACTCTAGATATCTCCTCTCCTACTTTCTTCCAACCCTCAGGAAAAACTGCAGAAGTGCCTGGACCCCCTGGAGCAGAAGCTGCAGGAGATCACCTGCTGCAAAGCCTCTGAAGAAAAGAAGCCAGGAGAGCTCAAGGTAGAGCAGGCAATCTGTTGCCTTCACAGCTTGGCTGGGTATTTGTCTATGAGCGAATCAACAACACTTTATGTGATCTACCAGTTAATTGGAAAACTGCTATTCTCTCAAAATGATGTTTCATTAGGTTTAGCATTAAACACTATACTTAAATTACTTATCGTAAGTTAAATACTGAGAAGAAGGACATAAGAAATGAAGGGGCTGGTGAAATGGCTGTGCAAGCATCAGGACTCGAAGCCCACATGAAGGTAGAAAGATAAGTGAATCCACAGAGTTGACATCTGACTTCCACACTGTGGCCCATGTGTTCACATACTCTTGTGTGTATACACACATTATACATACAATAATAAATACTTCTTATGTAAACAGACTAAACATCTTACCTCTGCCAAGTCCCAGGAGTTCTCGCCTAGTGTTCTCCTCCTCCCACCCCCAAGCAAGGAAAGAGGATCTCCTAAGAATGCAGGGATGGGAGCTTCTTAGAGGGGTTGGAGGAAAGAGAATTTGGAGAGGTCACAGGGGAGAGAGGGAGGAGCTGAGCAAGAGTCCCAGGACTGTTCAGTGACCTTTTGTTTCCTTATTAGTTTTTAATTATTTTTTATTTTATGTGTATGGGTGTTTTGCCTATGTGTATGCTTGGGTACCATGTGCCTGCCTGGTGCCCAAGGAGGCCAGAAGAGGGCATCGGATCCCCCAGAACTGGAGTTACCAATGGTTGCAAGTGCCGTGGGTGCTGGGAATTGAACTCAGGTCCTCTGGAAGAACAAACAGCCAATGCTCTTTAACTCTGCAGCCCCACAGAACCACAGTTTGTTTGTGAGAGTCTCACTGTATGTAGCCTTGGCTGGCCTGGAACTCACTATGTAGACCAAGTTGGCTTCAAACTCACCAAGGTCCACCTGCCTCTGCCTCCCAGGTTCTAGGAATAAAGGCATGCACCATAACATTTGGCTTAGAACTACATCCTTACAATTAAGTTATCTAAGGTAATGTTGATTCATTCCCAGAATTCCTTTCCCTTCCTCAGCCTTTACCTATGGAGTTCTTGGTAAAATACCTTGACCAAAAGTAACTTAAGGATGAAAAGTTTTATGTTAGCTTGCAGTTCCAGAGGGAAAAAGTCTATAATGGCAGGGAAGGCAGTGTATAGCAGCAGGAACAGGAAGCTGGCAAGTCAGATTTTCCAACCATACACAGGAAGTAGAGTAAAGCTGTCAACTCTCAAAGCCTGTCCCCAGTGACATACTTCCTCCAGCAAAGCTCCACCTCCAAAAATTTCCATAACCTTCGCAAAGATCCCAAGGGCTACCATCTGGACACAGAGTGTTCAAATACATGAACCTATGGAGGGTATTTCTCCTTTAAACCATGATAGTATTTGAGCCAAAGCATAATATAGTTGTCTTTAATTATAAATTTTCCAGTTAGTGGTGTTTAAAACTGCTGGGCAGTGGTGGCACACGCCTTTAATCCCAGAGCCGCCCTCCCCTCCACCCTCCAGAGGTGGAGGCAGGTGGATCGCTGTGAATTTGAGTCTAGCCTGGTCCAAAGAGTGAGTTCCAGGACAGCTGGGTCTACACAGAGAAACCCTGTCTTGAAAAAACAACAAAAACTACAATTCAAAACACTCCTTTATGATCGTTTGGGTTTGTCCTCTCTACCCTTTCTCCCTTTCTTCCCTCTCACCTCAGCCTCCAGAACTGGACTCAGTAACCCCTTTAAAACAGTTGTAGGGAGACGAGAGATGGCTGTGTGGTAAAAACAGTTTATAGAAGCAACACATGCATATAATCCCAATACTCAGAAGACTGGGACAGGAGGATTGCAAGTGAGGACAGCCAAGACTGCAGTAAGACCCTGTTAAAAGAATTAAATTAAAAATTTAAAAAGTATGTAAGAACTGAGGGTGTGGTATCCGTTTACCAACACAGCAGGCAAAAAAAATGCAAGTTTATCACCTGGGCGTGGTGGTGGTGCACACCTAGAATCTCAGAGGAGGCTGGAGCAGTAATATTACAAGTTCACATCACAAGTTCAGAGCCAGCACAGGCCAGCCTGGGCTATGTAGTAAGATTATATCTCCTGAGTAGGGATGGAGTTTATAATTAGCTCTGCTGAAATCAAAACTTTTAAAGAAAAAGTTCAGATACCATAACCTACTTACGTAATTTTAAAGAGACTGTCATATCTAGTAACATCATAGAGTGATTTTTTTTTGTTGGTTTTTTTGTTTGTTTGTTTTGTTTTTGTTTTTGTCTTGTGATAGAATTTCACTATGTAATTCGGGCTGGCCTAGAACTCTATGTAGACCAGGCTGGCCTTGAACTCATAGAGCTCTGTCTGCCTCTGACTCCTGAGTACTGAGATTAAAGGCATGCACACCACTTCCAGCTAGAATATATGCTTGCACCTGTATGTGATATTATTAAATGAAATAAATACAGGTTCATTCTGAAGTAGATGTGAGTCAAACACCTCAAGCAGCTTGGTGACATGGTAAAAGTCTAAGAAAACCAAAATATAGTATTCTTTTTTTAAGATTTATTTTTGTGTATATGTATATATGTGTGCACAAACACCTGTGTACACATCCTCTCGGAGACCAGAAGAGGACAAATCAGATCCCCTGAAACTAGAGTTATAGGTAGTTTTGAGCTACCCAATATGAGTGCTGGGAACCAAGCTCAGGTCCTCTGGAAGAGAAGCAAGCATTCTTAACCACTGAGTCATCTCTCTGGCTCCCAAAAGATAGTCCTCATGAGTATAATTCAGCACATCTGCTTCTAACACCACACACATTGAGAGTCTATATCCAGGACAAAGGTGAGAAGGCGTCCTGTCCCATTGCCCACCTGAGACAGCAACACATGGCCCGTAATGAAAGCTAGTCTGTTGTCTGCCCAGAGTAGCTTCAGAACGGGACTGCCGTCCTAATGAGGCCCACAGGCTCATATTGATATCCCAACCATTCTTTAGCCTGAGCCTGACTCTCTGTCCCTGTCCACTTCTTTCAGAGTCCCATCTCTATTTCTCTTTTGAGTTGATGCCTCCCTGTCAGTCACAAGGACGTGAGACTCCTTCCCTGAGAAGGTCACTTACAGGAAGGCATAGAGGGAGGATGTGCTGATAACCCTCAGAAAGTGGTATGACTGCTGTTTGAGTCCTGTACTCTCAAACTTCAAGGATGTTTGTTAGCAGTAAAAGTATGTGCTGCTATCAAGAGCATCTTTCAAATTTTAAGCAACAAATTTACTAAAAAATATCTGGAACATGATCCTGGGATGGGAAATACTTATTCTCTACCAACACAAAAACCAACTGTCACCTCCCTCAAAGGAGATAAGAATTTATTCTGGAGCCAAATATGAGAGACTATGGCCTTGAAACACAGATTTAGGTTACCCCAAATTCCATGTTTCAACTTAGAAACAGTTTCATGAAGTTTTTATAGAACAGAATGAAGAAAGCCATAAAGTGAGGCACTTTGCAAGTACATTGGTAGAACATTGAATAGGTAGTTACAGCAAGGTAGAGTGATCTCAGCTATAGGCCTCAGATACTGTCTGATGACACTTAGTCTTTTGGTTAGTGAAAACTGGGGATTTATTATATTAATACATGTTTTATCTGCTAATCACAGAGTGTTAGGTCCAGCACGGAGGTTTAGATGGCTAAAGATAGCCTGCAACAGTCCAACCTCTCTCCATATCACTGCTGTTCTAATCAGTTAGCCTTTGCAGAATTCTTTCCAGGAATTCTCAATCCCGTCAGAAATGACTTAAACTGTTTAACATGTTCAGAGGGGGCATGCTGGCACATACCTCTGGAAACTGAGGCAGGAGGATCCCAAGTTCAAGGCCAGCTTGTGCTATGTTACAAGACCCTGTTTGGAAAAAAACAAACAGAAACAGCAACCAAAACAAGTTCAGCCCTGAAGTCTAAGTATAGACTTTGTACCAACTCATTAGACTTACTGATTCTGATAGTTTCTTATTTGTTCTCTGGTTTTTATCAAGTTAATATGTCACAGTTATTAATGATGGAAATCTTTGGCTTTCTAGTATTTGCACTTTAACAGTGGATATCATCACATCATTGAGTCCCTGAATCTTGAATGTATTTTATTAAAATATAAAAGGTTAATTTAGGTTTAAAAAGTTAAGTATTCCACTGATTTGCACTAGCAAGTCATCTGTTGGGGATGTGCAGGTGACAGTATGCCGTACAGGAAGAGAAGCAAGAATGCCACTAACATCTCCCCAGTGACCGGGTCTGAGAGAAACTCCCTCATACCTCCTGGTCCTGACAGCGTCCTCCCTTGTTCTCAGAGACTAGTGGAGAGCCGCAGGCAGCAGATCTTAAAGGAGTTTGAAGAACTCCACAGGCGACTGGATGAAGAACAGCAGACGCTCCTTTCACGACTGGAAGAAGAGGAGCAGGACATTCTACAGAGACTTCGAGAAAATGCTGCTCACCTTGGGGACAAGCGCCGGGACCTGGCCCACTTAGCTGCTGAGGTGGAGGGCAAGTGCTTACAGTCGGGCTTCGAGATGCTCAAGGTTCGGCTTTGCCCCTGTGTGGGTCCTCGGGTCAGATGCAGTCTAGCTCTGTGCAGACCATCCTGTCAGTCGGAGGTGTACCCTCTCTTACTCTGCTTCCCTAAGCCCAGATTTTTCTTCCAGATGTGTGCAAAGAATCTTTTTCTAGAGTGGGGTACCTCAGATTTCCACCATCCCCTTTAAAAAACTTTTATATCCTTAGGTCTTTTCAGAAATGATATGCTTGGAGCTAGCGAGATGGCTCAGTGGTTAAGAGCACTGCATCCTTTGGAAGGACCCAGGTTTAGTTCTCCGCCCCCCCACCCATGGCAGCTCACAGCACTCTGACTGCAGCTCCAGGGGTTCCAGCGCCCTCTTCTGGCCACTATGGGCACTGCTTGCACATGGTGCACATACACACACGCAAGCAAGACTCTCATACACGAGATGAAAATTTTTAAGTGTATGTAATTTGTACCCCCCAAAAAGATAACCTTTTTCAGAAGACAGATGTCCATTCTACTTAGTGATAAACTATAAATTCAAATTCTTATAAATGCAGTTACCCTTACTTTCCAGTCCTAGAACTTAACTTACCTAGCGCTAAAGCAGGGGTATGAAGCATAATTTAAAGGATACTCACAGTGTGTGTAAGTAGTAAAGAGTGCATTGCCACCTCTAGCATGTCGGATACCGTCTGTCTGAGGCAGACTCATGGTGATGACAAGGCTGTAGGAAGCACATTATCTCGGATAAGATGACTGACCTTTGCGTCAGTCCCACTGCACGCTTACGTGTACATTTTATGTGGCTTGGTATTTACCCCTTTGTCTTTCATTTGTGTGTGCTCTGCTAACTGCATTAAACTTGAAATTCTGCAGGGTGAGATTTGTTGTGTGTGTCATCTGAATCCCAGTCTCAAATCAGGGTTGATATAAATTAGTGTTTATTAACCAGTGCTAGACAGGGATATCCAAACCACGGTGTGAAGCATCCTGTGCCACCAGTCTGGAATTGTCTGTACTGATTCTCAGTGATGCTGAGGTGTGTGGTTGGAATTTGGGGGACAAAAGAGCAGACAACCTCTGTGCCTTGCAGGGAGCCTCCAGTGTCTTTGAGGAAGAAAGACAAATGTACAGGAATCCGTTTGGAAATGATATTATCAAGCTTTGTTATGACCAACAGTTGAAATTGGGCATTCCATGAGAGACACGCACTTAGGTCCACCTGAAGTGTGTCCCTTGCACTGGGACCCTCAGTTTGCCTGGTGCCAAGCTTGAAGATCTAGAACTTTGGGGAGGTAGGAGAACCTTCATGACCCATGAATTCTAGGACCAATCTTACTTTCTTTTCTCTTTTCCTCTAGGATGTGAAAAGTACCCTGGAAAAGTAAGTGACTCTGTCTCTCTGAGTTAGGTCTTGGCTTAGAGGCTACAGTTTAGTAATGACTTGGAAGAAGTAAGAAAGGGAAAGTCTTGCAGTGTCTGAGTGAGATATTGAGAAGGATGAACCATTAGGAGTGATATCAGGTCGTGTTTGGTCAGAGCAGTGATAATGGGGAGCCAGATTCTGCTTGTGCCTGTGGGTAGAGCTGTGTCCAAACAAGAGGGCAAAAGGGTTGGGAGCACAGGAATCCAGTAGTGGAGGGGTGATTGTCCATTTGCATGAAATGTAAGAATATTCCAAGAAGTCCTGAGGCTCATTCTCAAGATACAGACCTGTCAAGGGGAACCACATAGCTTCTATGAAAGGAAGCAGCTGTCTTCCAGGATGAAGGAGAGTGGGAGAGGTCTGGTTCTACTTTTCTCTAAAGATGACACCACTCACATATTCAGTTGGCTGGAGCTCCCCCTGACCCTCTTCTGGCTTTCTTTATCTCCCATCCCTCCTAGATGTGAGAAGGTGAAGACCATGGAGGTGACTTCAGTATCTATAGAGCTGGAAAAGAACTTCAGCAATTTCCCCCGGCAGTACTTTGCCCTAAGGAAAATCCTTAAACAGCTAATTGGTGAGTTGTTCCCAAAAGGAAACTGGCATAGGGCATGCAAAGGAGTGGAAGGTTAAGATCCTTCCAGTGGGCTCCATTTTTCTCATGCCCACCCTAACTGCCCCGTCACCAGCTTTCAGTCTCACCTTAAATCATAGAGTTCAGAGAAGAAGCCTTAGGTGTCATCTGCTGTAAATAGGGACCTAGAAATGTTAAAGGATTCCTGACTCACACCGTCTTAGCCAGGAAAGTGAAAGGGAACATCATCAATGTTCATGTAGGAAAGGCGTCACAAAGCAGGACTGTGACAGGACTCCCTGCAGCTCACTGGATCTGGACCTTCTTTCTGGCCCTCCCGCAGACAGTGCCCTTCATTTTTCCGTGCAGCGAAAGCAAGCATGATTTGAGGAAGTTAACCAACCCACAGTGTTCTGGGGACCTTTCAGGGGCCAGGCTTTGTACAGGCAGGCTAGGAAAGTGAGGCAGGGATGTTTAGCCATTCCCATCCTCATCTAGCTCCCCACTCTGGCTTCTCCCGCCAGCGGATGTAACTCTGGACCCTGAGACGGCTCATCCTAACCTCGTCCTGTCAGAGGATCGGAAGAGTGTCAAGTTTGTGGAGACAAGACTCCGAGACCTCCCTGACACACCACAGCGTTTCACTTTCTACCCTTGTGTCTTGGCTACTGAAGGCTTCACCTCAGGTCGACACTACTGGGAGGTGGAGGTGGGCGACAAGACCCACTGGGCAGTGGGAGTATGCCGGGACTCTGTGAGCAGAAAAGGCGAACTGACTCCACTCCCTGAGACTGGCTACTGGCGTGTGCGGCTGTGGAACGGGGACAAATATGCAGCCACCACCACACCTTTTACCCCTTTGCACATCAAGGTGAAACCTAAGCGGGTGGGCATATTCCTAGACTACGAGGCTGGCACACTGTCTTTTTACAACGTCACAGACCGCTCACATATCTACACCTTCACCGATACTTTTACTGAAAAACTTTGGCCCCTCTTCTACCCAGGGATCCGGGCTGGTCGGAAGAATGCTGCACCACTTACCATCAGGCCCCCAACAGATTGGGAGTGACAAGAGATGAATTGGGGTGAGGCAGGGTCAAGAGTGATGGGCCTTCCTTACTGTGACCTGCTGGAATGTCTTGGTGTCTGCATGGTTCCAGTCCTGAGCCATCTTGAGAAACCACCTGGTCTCTGGGATGGTTTGTGTGAAGGAGTAAAGATAGGACTGGGCTGTATGACAGAGCACAGATGAGTGTCCCTACTTACTGTAGTAGGAGAGCGGGCTCCCAGGGAATTGTAATCTCTGGTGTCCAGCAGGTTTCCTATCGCACAAGGACAGGCTGGGAAAAAAAGGGCTTTTCTAAAAACAGAAAGTCTATATAAAAGAGTCTTAACTTGCTTAAAATGCAGGAAATAGAAACCTTTAAAAGGCTTCTATGACTCAGAATAGCCTTGTTCCTTGTGGGAGCGCATAGGGATCTGTATACCTCTGTGTTGGAAAGATGAGTGACAGTTGCTGTCATGAGTCTAGAAGTTGAGAGGCTTTTTTGAGGGCAGAGATTGGACATTAAAGTTAGATGGAGGATCAGGGAAGAGGCTAAAGGAACATTACTAGAAATGAATGAAGAAGAGGGGGATTTCTTTGGTTTTCTCTTTTTAGGGTAATGTTACCATTACCCATAGGATTAGCCAGAGGTTGGAATTTGGGGAAAAGGAACGAGTGGGCAGAAAGGAGAACCCAGGTCTCAAAGATGGTTGTTCCCGTTCCCTGCAGTTGGTCGTCTCCAAGAAGTAGGCTCACCTTTCTCTCCTCCGGAGGTAAGATGGAAACGATCCTGCAAGACACACACCTGCCCTTCCACTGTCTTCCCAAGGGAACTGGGAGAGGAGTCGGATAGTAGAGGAAAGATAATGGTGTGTCCAAAGCCCTGGCCTTAAAGAATGTTAAAAGTAGTTATTCCCAAGTTGTCTGCCTTGTCCTCTGGCTCAGGTGTCCAAGCCAGAAAGGAAGAAAGGTAACAGAGTCTTTCTCTCCCCATGAGAACAGGGTAGAAGAGGGTGGTTTGTGTAGCAAAGGGCCAGATAGACAGCTTAGCTTCTATTAACATCCTTCACCCTTTGACATCCCCCTTAAAGGTTCAGAGAATGTAAATCACTTTAAGTTAGGCCAAAATAAACAACCCATAGGGTACATAAGTTGTCACAAAAGGTAATGTGATGCATGCCAAACCAAACAACCTGGATTATCTGCTGCGTGGGTAATCTTCATACAAGACTAAGACGAGAAGCTGCATTGAGGGCATTTCAGTTCCTCCTACCACCTCAACAGGACGCTGTCCACTCTCCTCGTACCTTTGTGCCTTGACTGTGGTTCTTTGTGGCAAGATAATTTGGTTGATCAAAATATGGAACAAAGGATCCACTGATGTGATCTCTGAGTTGTGTGGTAATTTGGCAGTAGCCTTATGTGAAAATCACTGGGTATGAAAAATATATGTCCTTAATGGAGGTTTGGGTGGGCCTAGGAATCTACATTTTAACACACTCCTCTCATTCGACCCTGAAGGTCCTTACAAAACACCATCCAGGGTAAGTTTCAGCTAACCACCTTACTCTGAGCTGGAAGCCTGGTACTCCACCCATCATGGCAGAAGCCCTGACACAGGAAGAGTTCTCTGCCTCCCCTGACTTTTACTGATGTCCTCAACTCTGGATTGAGCTCGAATCCCTCTGCTTCTGACTTTGGATGCTTTAGCCATTTAATGGGAATAGTTACTAATGGTTATCAGGGGAGACAGCCTATACTATTGACAGGTTTCTGTGCCATAGAAAGAAATGTTCATGTGGCCAGCACTGTAAAAGCAAGTGTCTTCGTTAATAAGTGGGAGGAAGCTAGGAGCTCTTTCGGGAGGGATGTCTTGTCCTGTTTCCTTATTTCCTCCCTCATAACACGATCTTTCCCACTTTCAGCCCCACAGGCGCCGATACTCTTTGATTTTGAGTCAGGGTCTAGCCATGTGGACCATTGTAACCTGTATGTAATTCATGGCACTCCTACCTCAATCTCCCGAGTGCTGGGATAACAGGAATATAACGCGAAGCTAGACATTGCCTGCTTTGTTGTGTTACATCAGTCCGTAGATGTTCCAGCCATCTGTCTTTGGCTTCAGGAAAGTAGAGAAAATCTAGCCTGATGTCTGCTGCACAGTTCTCTCCGTACATGAAGAGAACAGATGTCTGTCCTGGAAATGCTGTTTTAAGATCCTTTACCTTCTCCACTAGCCGCGCTGGGCCCTACTTACCTAGTAAATATATGAGGAATACCAAACCACAGGGCAAGTGGGGTTGCCCGGTGTCTGACAAGGGTGTCTGGGGCCGCGGGCTCGACACTACAGTTCCCAACAGGCTTTGCGCGTGTCTAGGGCGGGACATCCGCGAAGAGGGGCAGGCACTCATGGCGGGCCCGGTGAAGGACCGCGAGGCCTTCCAGAGACTCAGCTTCCTATACCAGGTGAGACAGCGGTCCGGGTGGGTGGCAGTCCGGTGCTGCGGCCGCGGAATGACCCGGGTGGCCGTCCCTGTCCCCAGGCAGCACACTGCGTCCTCTCGCAGAACCCGGAGAACCAGGCGCTGGCGAGGTTTTACTGCCACACGGAGAAGACCATCGCGAAGCGGCTGGTCCTGCGGCAGTAAGGCACGGGCTGGCGGGAGGAACCCGGGGCGCGGGCGGGTGCCGACTGCCTCTCCTCCGCACCCAGGGACCCCTCGGTGAAGAGGACGCTCTGTCGTGGCTGCTCCTCTCTCCTCATCCCGGGCCTCACCTGCATCCAGCGCCAGAGACGTGAGTGCTGCTGCCTCAGGGGCACCGGGGTGGGCTGGGCAACTCCTTCCTCCTCGAGGCGGAGGCTTTCTGCAGCTGATTTGTCCCCCAAACCAGCCTGAACTACATGACACTCTGTAGTTTAATTTATAAGATTCATTAAGTACTGCTGGCTGAGTGAGTCGTGGTGGTTCACGCCTTTAATCCCAGCACTTGGAAGGTAGAAGCAGGTGATCTCCATGAGTTCAAGGCCATCCTGACCTACATAATCCAGACCAGCCAGGGCTGCATAGTGAGACCCTGTCTCAAACAAAAACACATAACCTCTCTTTCTCTTTGGTTTTGATTTTTTTGACACAAGTGTCAACTGTAGCGCAAATTGGCCTCCAACTCCCTGAAATCCCCTGCCTCAGCATCCCTAGTGTTAAAGATTACAAGGTAAAACAACACACCCAGCTACTGGAGTAGTATTTTTAAGTGCTTTGATTGGAAGAGAGTAGAGTGCTGAGTTACTTCTACCAGAGGCAGGGAAGTAGGTATGTCGTGATAAACAGAGTCAGACAGAAACGCTAGACATTGATTAGGATTCCCACACAAGAACACTTGCTATCAAGGGGCTGGGGAGATGGTTCGGTGGGTAAGGTACTTGATAGGCAAGTATGAGGACCTGACTTCAGATCTCCAGCACCCATGTAAGAGTACCCTTGGAGGCCAGTGAAGACATACAGATTCTGGAGCCTCTCTGCCCAGCCAGTCTATCTGAAAACATCTAGATCCCTGACGCACAATGATATGGTGGAATGTAGTAAAGGAAGACACCCAAACTAGGTTTCTAACCACACCTACACCCACGTGAGTGCTCTCCTGTTCACACACATATGCTTACTCATGCATGTGATGCTAACACATACACATGTACACAATATAAGTATAAATAAAAATAATGTTAAAGGGAGAATCTGTGCTATAGGAAAATAATGTTCAGGAGGCTGTAATTCGAGGTAGGTAGGGTGGAGAGAAATGTGAGACTGGAAAGGGAAGCTAGCCCTCGTTAAAGAGTTTGAACTTCATCTTAGAGTTCCAAGGAATTGATGTTTGTGCAGGGCCTTCCATACACATACCAAATCTGCATTCTAAATGCAGATGAGATGGAATTCCTACCGAAGACGACGGGAAGCAAACTGCAAACAAAAAAAGCCAAGACCTTTTTTTGTGAGAAGCCTAAGCACTCTCTTCTTTTTCCCACTTATACCCCAGGCAGAAAGGGACAGCGCTGGACAGTACAGACCTGCCTGACATGCCAGCGCAGCCAGCGGTTCCTCAATGACCCCAAGCATCTGCTCTGGGGTGACCGGCCTGAAGCCCAACTGGAAAATCAGGCAGGTGAGCAGTAGGGAAAGATGAGGGAGCCTCCAAGAGAAAGCTCAGTGGGGAGGAGCTGAAAAGCAAGGTAGGTCAGCCTGATCAATGGAAGGGGTGCCACAGTCTTAGGAAACTAATTCTTCTCTGATTCTCCCCCACTGTCTAGATTTCAAACCATCAGAGCCCCTGCCAAACATAGCCCACCTCCCTAAGGAGAATGCACAGCCTCAGGCTTCAAACACCAGTGATGAATTCACTCCATTTTCCAGATAAATAAAAGTTGAATTTTGTTTGACTTTGTGTTCTGTGGCATTTCAGCTGGTTATATCATTTTCCTCTGTGTGTGTGTGTGGCGGGGGGGGGGGGGGGGGGGGGGGGGGGGGGGGGGGGGGGGGTGTCACAGTAACCTCTTCTTATATCTTTGTACTCTACTATGCAGGGAATTCCCAGTTTCCATACACCACAAGGTCCTACTAAGCAGCCCTTGACTTAAGACTCCAGTGCCCTGTCACCCCTGCATTCTCAATACAATGATGTGTGTGGAAATGAAGCTTCAGCATTTCTTCCATGCTCATGTACCTTCTTCATGGATTCCATATGGAGATGGGGAGGTGGACACTGTTCATATTCATGGACCTACTCGGACTTGGCATTTTTCTCATCTCAGAGTTGTCATCTATAAAATCATCTATCTATAAAATCTTCAGGCCTGAACTAAAATAAAAGGTGCTAAACATGGCAGGTTTGCTTAAGTATGCTCCATAGGTAAACTCAGATGTCTTCTCTGATATCTCTAGTGAGCCTACTCAAGTACAAAATTTGTAAACTGACTTCTTTGCTAGCTGCAGACAGACTTTCATGTTACCCACAGAAATAGAGAAACAAAATTCATTATCCTGGGAGTGAAGTTTTCTTTCATTTTACCTTAACCCTGTATAGCACTTACCTATTAATGCATCTTTTTTTAAAAAAAAATCTTTTTAATGTGCCTTAAGCAACAATGATTCTGCATTTGGGATTTTGAAGGAGTCACTTCCCTAGCTGCTCCAGAAGACTCAGTAACTTAATGTCCCATTGGCCAAAGCAAGGCACATCTCCAAGGCCAGATTCCATGTGGAAGAGGCTGTACTAGGACAAGAACACTGGGTTCCTCTGTTTCCTGGGACCATGGTTGTAACAATCTACTGTATCCTTGTTTGTCTTTCTCCCCCAACTCAGGCTCTCCACCAACTCCACAAGTCAGTAAATGATTAGCATTAAAAGTACTAAATAAAATTAAATTATAAAATTAAAAAAAGGATAAAAAATAAAAGTACTAAATAGGGCTGGAGAGATGGCTCAGGGTTTAAGATCACTGGCTGCTCTTCCAGAGGACCCGGGTTCAACTCCCAACACCCATATGGCAGCTCACAACTATCTGTGACACCATTTCCAGGGGATCCAACACCCTCACACAGAGAAATGTGCACATAAAAATGAAAGAAAAGAAAAAGTACTATGTAGGTAACCATGATATTTGGCAGTTCATTTCTAGAGATTGTGCCTGGCTAGGTCAACTGATAGCCACCAGGAACGTGTGCTCTAAAAGTACACCTCATTCGTACCTGGAGTCTGCATCTTTAGCTCATGTTCTTTGGCTTCTCCAGTAGGTCATTTCTGATGGTCCTTGGCTCTTGCACACTAATTTATGGACAACTCTGTGTATGTGCGTCTGTGTGTGTTGTGCCTGCGCACAATCAAACATGCCCTGTCTCGGGGTTCCTTATTGCTGTGAAGAGACCCTCATGACCATGACAGCTCTTAGAAAGGAAAACATTGGATGGGGGCTGGCTTACAATTTCAGAGGTTTAGTCCATTCTCATCATGATGAGAAGCATGGTGGCATGCAGGCAGACATGGTGCTGAAGAAGGAACTGAGAGTTCTACATCTTGATCCAAAGGCAGCAGAAGGAGGCTGTGTGTCACACTGGGCATGGCTTCAGCATATGAGACCTTAAAGCCTGCCTTCCACAGTGGCACACTTCCTTCAACAAGGCCACACCTCCTAATAGTGCCACTCCCTATAGGCCAAGCATTCAAACACATGAGTCTATGGGGACCATTCCTAATCAAACCACCACATGCCCCAAACAGGATAACAACTAGAGAATATTTTTTAAGGGTCTTTTGCCCAGGCTAACCTAAACTTCCTATAACCTAAACTTCCCATGTAAGCACTGATTACTTTGGACTTGTGATCCTCCTGCCTC